ACACAACACTATTTTGGTGACGTGCAAATCTTATTGAAACTAATAGGGCCGAGATCATATAACATTGCGTATGGTAGAGTCCAGAAGGTGGATTAACAGCAGATCAGGCTAACCTCCCCATCACAAGAAACAGCAGGCTAAGCTAAGAGCGAACACGCACCAAATGAAGAGGGTAAACATGTACTGAGCTTCACCAAAGGCAACCATAGCTAATCAAATGAATCAGGAGGTCTTAAAAGTACATAGACTTTTATCGAGGGAATACTAGACGGCAGATGCATTGGTATGTGTGGATGGAGATGCACTATGTAATATTTCTGGAGTCTGTCACTGCTTGTCTCCACGGAGGTGTCATTGCCTTGCCTGGATGACATTAAACTTTCCATGGACAAGCATTTGGCATCACCAGGCAAAGTTACAGGTCAGATCTGTGGAGTCCAGTCACAGTAATTTTTAGCAATAAACCACATGCAATTCAATACGTTGTAAGATTGGTAAGTTTAATTAGCCTAATTCATCAGCCGGTTTTATTTCGTTTCACTTCATACAATCCGTCTGACCTCGTAGCCTTAGAGTTCGTTTGCTCGATGGTAGGCAGGTACTTTTTATCATTTAACCAATCGCTGCTATTTGGCCGTGACATATGTAATGCACCGCTAGCGGGGATAACCGGTATATTAAGCTTTTCCCAAATCCCGCAGGAAGAAGGGCAATAAGGTCTTTTCCCTTGATAAAATTCACCAAACATTCTCTTTGTTCCGGTTTTAAATCTTTGATCTCGGGAATCGTTGACAACACTGAATATATGGCTCTTCGCTGACTGACTGGTGCCCAAACTTGCACATGCACTGGGATTTTTGCGAACCGTCTATTGTATTTTGATTCCTGACCTAGTCGCTGGAGAGAAATGAAATTTAGCAGAGGCACCAGGTCAGACATGTCAATCTCAGGCCCAGGGGCCAAATTTGGCCCGTGATATAATTATATTTGGCCCGCGAGATCATATCAAATATGTATTAGAGCTGGCCCATCGGCTACAGATAGACTATAGAGATAGTATTTATTTAAAATGTTGTTAGTATTTTATATTATGATTGTTCTGGATTCAATGTTTAAGCTAAACTATTATTAAACATTTGTTTTTAGTAAGAAAAGGTTTAATATTACATATCTCAAAAGAAGAAATAACATGCAGATGTTGTTGAAAATTTTCAATAAATATTTAGTTTGGCTAACGACTTAGTAACCGTTTTTAATTTTTGCCCTCTGTGAATTTGAGTTTGACACCCCTGGCTAATACTGTGGAACATTCCAGGTAAAGTCATAACATATCCATGGAAGAAAGCAGGTTAAATCTATTGTGGCCACTTTATTAGGTATACATGTCTATACACAGAAATATTATCTTAATCAGGTATTGATACATCTGATATATTAGGCCTCTATATTGATGTCATCAGAGTATTTAATTCCGCAATTGAATTCTTGTTGTACAAAGCAATATTGTTTTGTTAATTGTCTTTTAAGAAAGCAGATGCTATATTGAGACTCTGGTATTGACTGATATCGGAAATCTCCAGATATCCAATGTCAAAGCACCGGAATCGGAACTGAAGGAGATGGATCAATGTCTCCGGTCATTATGCGTCTCTTTCTTAGGGGTCACCTCAGCCCACTGCCTTGTGTGCATCATTTTCATATTACAGGGTTCAGATGACATCACTATACATAGACTGGAGATAGACTACAGAGCCCCAGATTGTGTCGTCACATCATAAAAAAAATCCACTTAGCTTAGTAGTAAACAAATGGAGATTTTAAGATTCAAACTACTTGGGTTTTCTTTCCCAGTAATTCTCACACTATTTTTGATTTATTTAACAGTAGCGACCCAGGAGTTAATAGGGTTCATACGTGGCTTTTTTGATGACCCTATTTAAATATATTAAGTCACCTTCTTCCAGTTGAATATTTTATGCTAAATGTTATTATATTATTATGTTAAATGTGTCTTTTAACTGCATCATGTACATGCTTTACATTGCTTTGGTTTTTGTAATGTGCTGATTTTTGGGTACAAGGATTTAGTTCTGGTTTAGTCCTGATTTAGTCCTGATGTTATGTACTATTGGTTTAGTTCTTGTTTAGTCCTGGTTTAGAATTGGTTTGGCACAGGTTTGTTATTTCTTATGTAGTCTAGTACTGTTTTTTTCCCCCCAATTTTAGTCCTGGTGTAGTTTGGTTTGAATTAGTCCCTGAGTATGAAAAAGAACAAGAAAGTCTGGCTCTAGTTTAAACTTTAGTCCTGGTTCAGTCCTGGTTTAGCCTTGATTTAGTGCTAGTATAGTTCTAGTTTAGTCCTGGTTCAGTCCTGGTTTAGAGCTGGTTTTGTCCTGGTTTAGTCTCATTTCAGTCTTAGCTTAGTCCTGGTATTGTTTGGTTTGACGTAGTCCTATAGAGCCCTGACTATGAGAAAGGGAAAAAATCTGGCTCTAGTTCAATCTTTCGTCCAGGTTTAATCCTTTATTTTAAACGTGGCATGGGTTGGCCTGGAGTTTTTTTTTAGAAACTGATGCTCTCAGGATTTGCACCCACAACCACCAGCCATCTCCTGGGTTTACAAATAATAGACCTCAAATAAGAAAATACCCCCTGAGCTGCAGATCTGTGGTGCTGTAAGCCAGGGGATAATGGGCAGATTGGCGTGACGTAACAGAAAGGCAACACTTTATTAGGTTTAAGGTCTAACTAAGTGGCCACTCAAGCTATTTTTAGACCTAATTCATTATTTACTGTGAGAATGAATCTTACATTTACAACCCGTATTAACTTTTAAACATTTGCATTAATGTTTAAGCTGTAAATGACAAGCTCATGTCAGGCTGGTATGTATAAATGATGTTTCTGCAGTTTTATTGGCAGACTGCTCATTTGCAACATTCTATAATAACTATGCTTTTAGTAGCTTTAAAAGGCTCATATTACGCTATTTTCTGGTTTATGTTATAATGTCGTTTCCTCATCAAAAACATACCTGTTGTTGTGTTCTGTCTCATTCACACATGTTTAATACAAAGCTTGCATCTTTAGGCTGAGTTCTTTTCTCAAATTGAAAACAGTCCTTCACTTTATGATGTCATGTGGTGGAAAACACAGTGGAACACCCACTGTGTTTTTAAACCCCATACACTTTCACTACAATGTTTGGATAATTTCAGCCCTGGAATGGTCCATCTCTACTGAACTAAAGGTAAAAGGAGCTGTTAACTTGAAACCTGCTGCTGCATGACATCACAAGGTTGGAAATTTTGAAGTTTGGAGATGTAGACAGACTAATAATAAAGGATTACTAAAACACATGTGAATGAAAGAAAGACAACTCCAGGTATGTTTTTGATGAGGTAACAGTATTATAACATGGCTTAGAGCTCACAAAAGTCAATTTTTCATAATATAGGACCTTTAATAAAGCATGAACAAAAACTTAATTCATAAAAACAAATAGTTTATTAATAATGATTCATACTTAATAACTAGGTAACTTAATTAAAGAGCCACTCTTTTGACCAAAATGTGTCTTGCCTCAGTACAGGCATATTATATAAGCAGCTTTTGAGGTCAAATAAGTCTGCTGTGTTGTCTGCATCTAATTAGAAATCATTTCATTGTTCATTGTCATCAGAAAGTGCACATTAGCATGCTAGTTATTGTCAGCTTTACCAATTCGGAATGCATAAAATGAGATAAGTTTCTTATTTTTAACAGTAATAATCATGCAGAGCCCCTTTAATACTTTAACACCTAACCCTAAATCCTTAATTTGTAGTTCCTAAGCCTGAATCATTCTGTTTGTTCATTATGAATGAAATCTTTGTTCATGCTTTATTAAGGCTAAATAATGTGTACTTATAAAGTGGTTCCAGCTTTGTTCTAAATCTAAAAACTAGATAGACGACTAAGCTAAGTTGTCAGTTTTGATAACAAACTAACTGCATGTGTAATTAAGCATTAATTAGTATGTAATTGGTAATGTATTTAGACAAAAGTTTGTGTTAATGCTGCACTACATGTATTATTATTTTATCAATATATGTATATGTAGTCCACATTTTAATCTTGAACTTAGCATTTAATGTGATTATAACATTCAAAATCATTAACTTGCAAGATACATCAACTGCTTAATTATATCAGTGTGCAGCAGACTCTTAATGACACTTTTACAATGATAATGTAGAAAACAATTTAAAATGTCCCAAGAGCAAATGTAGTGTCTGCAACTGTCTAAACTCTCTTAACAGTGGAAGTGTTACTTTGTAAATTCTGTTCATGTCCACTGTTGTTGTTGTTGCTGTTGTTGTTGTTTTTTGTTCTGTAATGATTTGTTCAATACAAGGTCATTGAAAAATTGCAATAAAAACAATGATGATGACTGAATAATACAAAATATATATATATATATATATATATATATATATATATATATATATATATATATATATACACATACTGTATAAAATATATATAAATATATATATACATACACATACTGTATAATATATATATATATATATATATATATATATATAATATACATAGCTGTGCCATGTAACATTTCTGATGTCGGTTCTGCCTCCTTCTTGTTTTCAAGCAGGTGCTTTTGCTATGCCTGGAATGTTCCGCAATATGGCATTAAACTTATCTACCTCCATGAGGTCATCTATGGAGAGGCGACCCCATACACAGTAGAATTCATGATATTTGGTGCAATAAAAACAGACGTAATTGATTGAGTGAAAGATCAGTTTAAAGGTATACTGTAAAATATTCCAGACAAAGCAATAACATCTCCATGGAGACACAGAGATAGTAATCCCTCTATGAGAAAAGTTGCATTGTGCACCTTTAACAACGTTTACAAGGTGATAGATATAAGCAGAGATAAGCAGGTGCATAAGTTTAAGTCAGTCATAAAAATGAAGTGAGTGATCAAATCTTACCTAAAAGCATGTTGAAATCGTCCCACTCTTCTGTCTCCTGCTTCTTATCTTATCTCCTTCAAACAGAGCAGCCTCTCTAGTCAAAACCTGAACCTCTTTTACAAAACTGTCCAAATCCGATCCTCACTCCTCATGTCGTTTCCTGCTCGATTCCTTGTTTAAACGTCCTCCTCTCCGTCACACAGTAGTTGCAGTGGCAGCCCCTTCTCTCACTGTATACGCACTGGACACTCAATCTGGTGTGAGGCTAATTTATTCCCAGCTATTTTCACATTCGAGGAAGCACCAGAGACTACAGCCAGGAGACCTCTTTGCGAGCAGCACACCCCCTCCTCTCTCTCTTTCTCTCTCCTAGCTCTTCCCTCCCTCTCTCCTCTCTCTCTCTCTCTCACACACACACACACTCTAATGCCTCACTCTCCTCTCCTCTTTCAGCTGTCTTCTCTTTCTTTCTCTCTCTCTCTCCTCTTTCACCCCCCCATCGCCTTTCCTCTCTCAGCTATCCTTTCTCTCTCCCCCCTCCTCTCTCTCTTCTGTCTTTCTCTCTCCCCTCCCTCTCTAATCTCTCTCTGCTACCTTTTGCTCTCCTCGTTTCTCCTCTTCTCTCTTTTTCTGTCTCTTCCCTGTCTCTCCTCTTTCTCTTTTTCCTATCTCCTCCCTTTCTCTCTCCTCTTCTTCTCACTCATCCTCTCTCCCTCCTTCTTCCTTCTTTTTCTCCTCCTTCTCTCTGTCATGTATTTTGGGGTTGAGTATAACCTAAAGGCACCTTGCATTTCTGCGTCCTGATTGGTGGAGGAGTTGTCCAATGCGTGCGCTCCCCTGGATTCGCTGATGATTATAATGCTTCTGTCAGTGGAGCCCCAGTTCTCTCTCCTTCACCGCGTTGTATTGACTAAACCCTATTGTCCTTTTGTATCAATGCAGCAATCGCCATCACATCATGTCCATAGGATATTTTGCTTAAACTGCCATGTGTTTCATGCTTACACTGAGGTAGATCAATACTGAGATTTAAAATGTCATAAAGATCCATGGGTGTCATAGATTATAGCTGTATAGTAGACTTGTCTTCAGTGCAGTTGCTATATATTGTATTATGAACTGGTGAATCGATAACATGATTTTTTGTGGTGTTTTGAATAGCCAAATCTAACTATAGAGACATAAATACTGACCAAAGCACAAACCAGATATGAACAGTGGTGGAACGCAACAAAGTACTGTACTTAAGTAAACATTTTAGGTATTGGTACTTTACTTAAATACATTTTAAGTGGATACTTTTACTTCACTACATTTAAGAGCAGATATCTGTACTTTCTACTCCACTGCATGTTTGAACAGGACTAAAAGTAAAAGTTTTTATTACTGTTTAAGACTTGCTGAATAGGCTGAGGGTTGATTTTGTTCATAATGTTCATAATTTGAACAAACAGAAATGTAACAACAAATAAAAACAGCTAGAATAAAAAGACTGATTTAATTATTTCTGTTGAACAAAATTCAGCACACATCTATATCAAAATCAAAAAATTTGAAGCATTGTTGGATCTCAAAATTTGCACGTTATACTCTTTTACTTTTTACTCATTAAGTAGATTTTTATATGGGTACTTTAATACTTTTACTTAAGTAGACTATTTCATGTGATACTTTTACTTGAGTATTTGAGGGGTCATACCAGCTTGTCAGAGCCTGATCTCGTCAGATCTCAGAAGCTAAGCAGCGCCAGGCCTGGTTAGTACTTGGATGGGAGACCGCTGGGAAAAACAGGTGCCACGGGGGGGTGCCAGTCGCAGAACTGTTGTTGTGTCCTTAAGCAAGAAACTTCACCCACATTGCCTAGTATGAAAGTGGTGTGTGCGTGAGTGATGGTGGTGGTCAGAGGGACTGATGGCGCAAATTAGCCGTACTTCTGTCAGCATGCCCCAGGGCAGATGTGGCTACACCCAGTGATATCTTACCACCACTGGGTGTGGAGAGAAAGAATAATGACTCTGAAATGCTCTGTAAAGTGTCTTTGTGACATATGTCTGTGAAAAAGCGCTATATAAATAAAAAGTTACTTATTTTTGTCTGATATGGGTATTTTTACTTAAATAACAAAATGTAGTACTTCTTTCACCAATGGAAATGAATACTTGTGTCTGATAAAATGACTTGGAGAAGTGAACCATTCTGCTCCTTAATTGGCAATGCAATATTCACTCACTACTATTTTCATACAAATGTAATGATTCATTCAATTTCTAATCTAATTAAATTAATTTCATTTTCTTACTGGCAATTAGTAGGGTGGGATTATATCATGTCCTTAGTGGAATTTGTGTCTCATTCCATCGCTATTATTATTTTGTCGCACATTTTCTATTATTTTACTGTGAAACTATAGGATTTTTACATTTGAGCTGTTGTGTTATTTCTTTGGTCCTCACATACCAAAGAGCTGCTTTTAATATGAGTGCATTGATTGTTGGTACAAATGCATGAATGAATAAATTAATATTTAATTCTATACAAGCTAAAAACTACATGGGCACAAATGGGAGAAAAAAAACAGATGATCATGAATAAACTGAAAAATGATTTGAATGGTGTGATGATACGAACATAGGCCTACACAGAAACACTACTTTACTCAGTACTTGCACAGTTACACTTGAAAGGAGAACTTTAAGCAGATTTAAGTCTTTGCTATTCCAGACAGACTCCAGAGGTAACATGGACAAAGTGAGGCTGACAGGTGCAGAGCGGCAGTGCAGAGGAGAAGGGGGGATGAAAGGGGAGGAGGGATGTGGTCAAACTGAGAATAAAACTAAAGAGAACAAAAGTGAAAGATGGACAGACATTTTAACTGTGAACTAGACCCACAGTAAATATTTCATGATGTGAGATTTAGAAGGATTTTGAAAAGTCATCCCCACAATAGCTATTAAGGCTAAGGTATAATTTTTAAAACCCAATGGTAAATTTTGTACTTTGCATTTGACCCATTCTTCAGGTTTTGTCAGAACTAAAATATGCAAGTCTGTTGCCATTGGGTATGTGGGTAAGGCTGATTAAAAAACAGCTTATAAAGGAGGAACTGACTTTAAAACATTGTATCAGTTTTGTTTCATGTGAGTAACAGCCACATTAATTGAAGATATCTTAACTACAAACCAAGATGTTTCAATCTTAAGCATCATATTTCCCCTCTCCTCCAGCCGTGTTGTAAAGTAGCCTATAGAGTTTTATGGCATCACATAATCAACATATGCGTCTATTCTGGGAGGGTCACACATGTAAACAAATGTCAAACTCCAATGGGAAACTCTCATTAAGATCTCCACTTTGGTGACTTCCTTTATAACATCAACAACAAACTATCATACAAAATCAAGCTGAATTTAAAGCCTATATTATTGTTGTGTCCTCATCAGAAACATACCAAGAGTTATGTTTTGTTTTCCTTCACACATGTTTAACACACACCCTGCATATTTAGGCTGAGTTATTCACTCAAATTGAAAACAAATATAATTTGAATAATTTCAGCCCTGGAAATGGCCATCTATACTGAACTAAAATTAAAAGGAGCTGTTAACATGAAAACTCCCAAAACACACAAGGTGGAACAGAAGGATTACTCAGACATATGAATGAAACATAACACAATTTTAAGTATTTTTATGAGGAGGTAACATCATTATAACATGGCTTAAAGCTCATAAGAGTCAGTTTTGTGTCATATAGGAACTTTAAATTTATCTGTGGGGACAAGCAAGTGACAGCATTAAGTTAAGTTACAGGTTGGATCTGTGGAGAGGTGAGCCCATTCACTTAAAAAAAAAAAAAAAAGCATGTTTTAAGGTTTAAGCATTGTGTGTTTTTGTTTTTTGGTCCAAGAATCAGGATGCTAATTGTTGTTAGCATTACCGTGACTGCAAAACAAAGCTCTGGCCTCTAAAAACTGTAAAAAGACCCTTATAAACTCAACACTGTGAATAATTACAATGCTTGGAATACATGAAGAAAGTGTGGAATTTAAGTAGTTTGGAGTAAATAGTTTAATAGTTTGGACCATTGCATTTTAAATGAATTAGCTCTGTTTTTTCATGTATTTAAGACAGTAGAAATCTAATTCTTTAAAATCCTCAGTCATTAAAAATTCATAGGGGAAAATAGTTTTAAAATGGTTCCCAGACAGACAGCTTGAAATATTTAAATAACATTGTCAAAGCCATCCTCATATACTTGATGTCTACTCCTGCTTGGCCCTTTTCCCATGTATTCTCCAGGCCAGTACATGTAGGTGTATACAGGTGTAGGGTTTCCTCATTAGTAGACTCTGGGTGAATAATACATTGGGGTGCATTGTTGAGTAAAATAGCTCAGGTGCTAATGTGGCTGTCAACTTTGGAGGAGCAGGACTTTAATAGATGTCGCTCTGGGAAACTGAAACAGGACCAGGGGAGTCCGGTGACATCCACCCCACATATGTGCTGCCTCTGCTGGGGAAGGGGGGCGTGAGTTGAAGGGGGGATTCCTCCAGGACAGGTAAGGAGGACAGGAAGCCTGATACAAAAACAACTGTGAAGAATATACTGAAAAATGTGAATGCTTATTTAATGGAAATGTGTATGTGTAAGACACATACAAAATAAATATAAAAACTGTGTATAGTGTATTTAAAAAAGAACTGATGTTTACTACAATTTTGTATCTGTATCTTTGAAAGTTACTCTTGATTGTCCGACATTTTCTAATTATATTCTGCTTTCAATTTGTCATTAAGTATTATACTAGTACAGTGTAAGCTTATGCTCTCATAGTATTCTCCCATAGAATGCTGATATAGATCAGCATTCTAAAACTGTGTATGTGGTGAGTGAGTGGTAGTTGGAGGAGCCGATGGTGCAGATTGGCAGCCTTGTTTCAGTCAAACTGTTCCAAGGCTGCAGGAGCTATAAGGCTATTCAGAAAAGGTCCAGTGTAATCCTATTTGTGTGACTTTTTTCAGCCACTGTGTACTGATAAATGTATATATGATTATTATGTATTGACAAAATTAGATAAAGTAAACTA